CAGGAGAAGCCACAGGCCAGGTCAGCACCTCCTGGGTGCTGGGACCCCAGCTGTCATGTGCGCTCTCTGCTGGAGCTGGTGCTTGGGGCCACCAGCAGAAACCGGAACCAACACCCAAACGGATGTCAGCTCTGCGGGCAGCAGCTTAATCCCCTGCACCCCAAGGACAAGCAGAGTTTTGGTGGTGCCGACTAAGCATTTACACACATTGGCCTTCAGAGCTCTCAGCCCCCAGGGTGGGGAACTCCCCGCAGGGCTCCAGCAGCATGGCTTCTAAGGCAAAAGGGGCAAGTCAGCTCCCACGGCCTTCCGGGATGCATGGGCCCTGACCTTGGGGTAGGCACGGCAGCTTGGCTGCGCCCCAGCCGGCAGGCTCCATCTGCAGGCTCCCCGCCTCACTCTCCCTCGCTCCTGCAGGCCTGGGCTCTCCCTGTCCCTGGGCGGCCGCCTTTTCCCACCGCTGCCCTGGCTCTGCTAAGCAGTCTTTAGTTAAAGGCTCCGCCAACGCACCCTTGTTTGCAGCACGAGGCTGGGTCTCGGGGCCGGCAGGTGTGCTGGCTCGTGGGCCACAGGTGGCTGCTGTATGCCTCCTGATCACTGCAGGAAGGTGGCAGCCATGCAAGACTAAATCTGCCAGAACGGTTCAAAACCATGGGAGGATAGAAAGTCTCAGATGTCCACAGCTGAAAACCATCAAGGACAACGAGCCCTGCAGGGCCCGGCACTGAGCAAGCGACACCAGCGCTCACATTCAACAAGGGATCTGCCCAGAGGCAGCACCCACTCCCCGGGGAAATCGGGGTTGGTGACCTCCCACCCGGAGGTCACCAGGTGTCCCTGCCTCGCTGCTCGCACCGCACCCCGCCATGGGCCCCGGTCCTCCCCGCTGGGACACCCCGCCCGGAGCCGGGGCCAGGGGGCTGCGGGGTCCTCCTCCGCCACGCCGCAGCGCACAGACGAGCGGTCCCCGTCCCGCACCCGCCGTCCGGGCCCTCGGCCGTGGAGCGCGTGGAACAGCCGCACCCGCCGCGGCCTCCCCGGGGCGCCCACTGACCTGGCGCCCTCGCCCAGCGCCCCGTGCGTGTTGTAATTCACCGTCATGACCTTCACCGAGTCCTTGAACACCACGTCGCCCTGGCCCAGGTACTGCAGGGTGCGGCGAACGGGGAAGCGGCCCTTCATGGGCATGGCGGCGGGGGAAGCCGGCCGCGAGCCGGGCCGAGGCGGACACGCGGACCGCGGCCGACGGGCGCCCAGGCCGACCTCGCGTCGCCTCTCCCGGCAGGCCTCGCGCGCGCCGCGGGGCAGCCTGGGACTTGTGGTCCCGGCGGGCCGACGCAGGCACACCCACCTGCTGGAGTCCCGCAAGTCAGTCAGTCACTCGCACACGGGAAGCTATTTCAAAGGTTTCTAGGTGCAGACACAGCTCGGTATCTCTCCCAGCTTTGCAGTTCCAAAATGAGCACTTTCAAAAGCGAACCGACTTGCTAAAGGGAAGGAAAAAAACCGCTTTCGGATCCTACTTTAGCTGCTCACAAACAGGCGGTGGAGAAGATGTACCCTGAAGAACTCTGGTCACTTTAAGAAACTTTTATTTCTCCAAGCTGGAATGATTTTCCAGGTACAGAATACTAAGTTGGCGAGGTGTTTGTGCTTTGGGCTTTTTTTTTGTACTTTGTTTTTTAAAAACCCTAGCATTTGGGCCCAGTGGCGTGGCCTAGCAGCTAAGTCCTTGCCTTGAACGTGCCGGGATCCCATACGGGTGCTGGTTCTAATCCCGGCAGCCCCACTTCCCATCCAGGTCCCTGCTTGTTGCCTGGGAAAGCAGTCGAGGACGGCCCAAAGCCTTGGGACCCTGCACCCACATTGGAGACTCAGAAGAGGCTCTGGGCTCCTGGCTTCGGATCGGTGCAGCACCAGCCATTGTGGCCACTTGGGGAGTGAATCATCGGATGGAAGGTCTTCCTCTGTCTCTCGTCCGCTCTGTATATGAGTTTCTAACAAAAATAATAAAAATAAATCTTAAAAAAAAAAAAAAGAGCACTTTCAGCAGTGACCCACACCTGCAGCTCGGGCAGTTTAACCGCCATCTTCCCGTTTCTCCATGACTGATTGAATGTCTATATTTCAGTGGCCATGTTCCCCTCGGCTATGTAACTTTTCCTTTTTTTTTTTTTCCTAAGCTTTTTTCCATCTTCTATGCCATCTGAGATACAGGGGTGTAGATCTGGGAGACTGAATGAAGGCCACAGATAACCTATGATGTGGGTCTAATTGGCCACTAGCAAGCCGAAGTACGGGACTCGAACCTGCCTGTGCAAGTGCTCAGGGCTCCACAGCCTTACCAGTAAGGCAGGGAGGGACCAGAAAGGGGAACCGTGGATGGGGCAGCTGCCCACCAGCAAGTCAGCTCTTCTAAGAAAGCAGGAACTTAAAAAAAAAAAAAAAGACTGCCAAAGAATAAGATGAGGAAGCTGCCAGGGAGAAGGGGAACCTCCAGAGAATCCTTCCGCGGGGCTGGCCCAGGCCAGCATTCCATGTTTCCTTATCTCTACTTGACCGTTTCCCTTCAGATCTGACAGTTTTGGGTTCAAATATTTCCTCTTCGTCTGGTGTTTCTCCTGCTGAAAGCCTGCCTGCACACACTCTGCGTTGGGGGACTGTCCGAGCTCCCGCATGGTGTGTGCTTTGCCCTTTGCATTTCTCAGCACTTCCGTCTCCCGCATCACTGGCTGTGTCCGGCCTAGCCAGGAACCCACGCAGGCATTCTCCCTTTGTCACGCTGCCTGCATCTCCAGCATTTCCTTGAGATTCTTTTCCAGTTTCCTCATCTGCTTGCATTATTGAGCTTTTCTAGCAATGTTTTTACCATTTGAACAACAACACGCCCGTTGTGTTTCACATTTCCTGGTAACTCCGGCCTCAAGGTCTGATGCTTGCTTTCCCCCGCCTTTTCCCGCCCTTCAGTGTGCTTGCAATTTTCTGTTGGCAATGAGGTGAAGTGAAGTTCACACGAAGTAAAGTTCAGCTTTTTATTTATTTATTTATTTATTTATTGGAAAGGCAGTTATACAGAGAGAAGGAGAGACAGAGAGGAAGATCTTCCACCTGCTGGTTCACTCGCCAAGTGGCTGCAATGGCCAGAGCTAAGCCGATTCAAAGCCAGGAGCCCAGAGCCTCTTCTGAGTCTCCCATGTGGGTGCAGGTTCCCAAGGCTTTGGGCCATCCTTGACTGCTTTCCCAGGCCACAAGCACGAGGCTGGATGGGAAAGGAAGCAGGGCCACTAGGATTAAAACCAGTGGCCATATGGGATCTCGGCGTGTTCAAGGCAAGGACTATAACCATTAGGCTACTCTGCCAGGAGGTGAAATTCAGTTGAATATGAGAGGCAAGTGTTGTGTGTTCCCTAAAGGGTTTTGTCATAGAGAATGCATTGTGTTTCAGTGACCAAGTCCAATCTCCAGGGTCACCATTTAGAGCCCAAGGCTGTGCGTGGACTGTGCACACGCTTGTTCTTTCATTCGCAGCCTCCAGCAGGGACCCTGGTCAGCAGTGAGCATGCCAGCGGCTGCATCCAGGGCTTCAGCTCCAGGCCTTGGGTCCGGTCCGGCTGTGTGAAGCTTGGCTAACCTTTCTTCAGGTTTCAGCATGGCAAACCCAATTATCTGATGGATCCATGAAAACTTACACTTCTCTAGCTTATTCTTGTTGTAAGGACAAAGTGACAAGGTCCATGCTCTTCGTGTGTCTGAGCTGAGACCACAAGGAGAGACCTGAAGCTTTAGGAAGAGTATTGGTTTTTCAAGTCCACGGGAGTGTCTCACACCTGGGCTTCAATACCCAAGTCTTCACTGACTCTGTGACCCAGGCCAGGCTGATCCAGCCAGCACCGGGCCAGGCCACAGGAGCCAGAAGTTTCATCTAGGCCTTCCACATGGGTAACAGTGACCCAAACAAAATAAACCATTTTCTTTCTCTCTGTCTCTCCTTCTCTTTGTATATCTGCCTTTTCAATTAAAAAAATAATCTTTAAAACAAACAAAAGAGGGCACAATAGCCTAGTGGCTAAATTCTCACCTTGCATCTGCCAGAATCCCATATGACCACCAGTTCAGGTCCCAGCTGCTTTAATTCCCATCCAGTTGAGAACACTCAAAGCTTTGGGACCCTGTATCTACATGGGAGACCCAGAGGGGCTCCTGGCTCCTGGCTGCAGATTAGCTCAGCTCCAGACATTGTGGCCACTTGGGGAGAGAACCAGTAGATGGAAGATCTTTTTCTCTGTATCTCCTTCTCTCTGAATATCTGCCTTTCCAATAAAAAAATAATAATAAAACAAATCTTCGAAAAATAAACAACAAAATGAGCCCTTTTCCACTGTTTTCCCCAGGCCATTAGCAGGGAGTTAGATCAGAAAGCAGTGGTAAGAACTCCCATGGGTGCCCAAATGGGGTACCAGCTGTCAACGCATGCCCCTCCATCTGCCAGCTGCTGCTGAATGAGCTGCTCCTGGGCCTGCTCCAATGCAGACAGGAAGGCCTGGGAATGTGGCTCAGTGGCAGGCACAGGCGGTCATGATGGATTAGAAAAGGCTTTCACACTGCACTTGAGTAAAATGGCTCTTTAACCAACACAGCCGGGATACGAGGAAAGGACAATCTCGGGGTCCATCTTTATCCCTTGGTCACTCCAGTGACTGACTTGTTGTCTGGAGCCCTTAATCAACACACAACACAGGAGCTAGGTCTGCCTTCTGATGCTCCAGGGGAGATGTTACAGCTGAATGGCACCTGCAACACAGGTGCACACACACTCAACCACTAATATCTGTTATTTTTTAAAAAAAGCTTCCATACAAGGCCTCAGAGTGCATGCCACTCAGTGACCCTCCAAGGGACAGTCAGACTTCTGGGCGGCCAGCACCATCTGCTGCTTCCAAGACCAGCTGCCCTTCGGGGCCCCTCACTCAACGGCGCCAATGACTAACACGGCACAGGGCTCACGATGACGCAGGAACATTTTAGTAATTGAATAGTAACCACACATTGAGCTGCAAGCACAATGAGCAAGTGTCCTTAGCGTATCGGGAAAATACAAACGAACAAGGCGGAAGGGAAGGCAGACAAGCGGCTTCAGGAGAGGCCTGAATGGCCACCCTCTCCTGCGTGGGACCATGACCTCCGGCTGGGGGCCTGCCGATGCCACAGCAAGGGTGGTCATCCAACAGGGCACAGAGTGGGCTGCCTTGAAGGACTGCAGGTGAGTAAACGGTTCCATAAGGCAAGAACCTGGAATTGTGTTTACATCGCACAGGCCAGCTTGCCCTGCTGTCTACACGGGGGCGGCGCAGCAGAGTGTGCAGAGGCAGACACAGCCGGAGGAAGAGCCACGAAGCCGCAGGGATGGCAGTTTGCGTCAGTGTATCCCGTCAGTGTCAAGCACTCTGACAGAGGCTGCTGGTGCGCCCCTCATGCATCTGCTCATCACTCACAGATGGCTGCCTGGGGCTGCTTTCAGGAAAGCGCCATACCACATGAGGAGGAAAGCTTGGGTGGCGGGCAGCATCAACCCCCAAAACTGCCCCATTGCCAATGAGGGCTGTCTTTCCAGCGAGGGGGCCAGGGGGCCAGGCAGGAGCGTGAAGCTCATGGCAGGCAGAGCGTGACTTCGGGCACTGCTGCCTTGGCTGCCCAGAGCCACCGTACCGGCAAGGGCAGGCCGGCGGCACCAATCCACTCACTCCCCAGTTTGTGACTAGAACCCAGAGGCCAAAGGTCCTTGCAGGCCCGGCCCCCTCCCTGCCCCCACACCTCTGCAGAGAAAGCCCCAGTAGATGCTGCAGAAATGAGGCTGCAGCCCCAGACCCATCCACCCTGAGTTCAGCCATTCCTACCCTCCACAGGCTCTTCCCCAGAAGGCAATGAAGGAATCCGAACTCACTCCAGAAAGCAGTCAGAATGTGGCCACGAGTTAGCTGGGGGGTATAAAGTGATCAATGGTCAGTTAGTTTAAGTTCAGCAATCAGTGAGTATAACTACAGAAGCCGCACGGAGCGCCGACACACTCAGTTTGCAGGATGTCAGTCAGGGAAGGGTTTTCGGGGTTCCTGGAAACCACAGCACCACAGTTCATCTAGCCACTTCCCTTTCCATCCCTGCTAGCAAAGAGGTCAGCTGTTACAGAGCCAGTGTGACGATCCTGGGCTGGTCCTCAGCCAAGAGGGACTGGTCCCCCACGGCCCGTGGCCCTCTGCCGAGGCCCAGAGCGGAGCAGCGGCGCCCACACCCTGCAGGGAGGGCTCTCTGGGGAGGAACAGTGTCCCTCGGAGTGATGTTGGGATAGAAACTCTTCTCCCCAGGACTAAAGCCAACCACGGTGTTAGCCACACCTGTTTCCTAAAAAGAAACATGATCTTGATCACAGGCACCGAGCCACCTGCACTGGGAGCTGAACTTTCTGAAGGAGGCAGATAACGCACACCGAGAGCCAGTCAGACGGCAGCAAAACACACCCAGGGTCCTGGCCCTGGACTCCTCCCCTCGCGCAGCACCAGGCCAGTGGGGCCCAGGGGTACTAACACCCACCGGCCTGCGGGCCAGAGCACGGAAGGCTAAGGGCGCCATCGGTGGGTCTCACCTAAGGACAGGCCTAGGGAAAGCCGCCCTCTAACACAGCAGCAGAAGGGCTGCGGGTGCATGGCTGCTCCTGCCCTGAGCCAGCAGAGGTTCATTTAGTCACACTGAGCAGTGAGAATGTGCTGGCCCTCTGAAAGGAAAACCTCCAATTTACCAAAAATGTGAAAAAACAGCAAATGCATGCTGATTCTTCCTGTACTGGTTCCCATTTAATTATTCATCTAGAGTGGAAACACCCTCAGGTGCACAGCCCAGAATAGCACGGCTCCCATCCTCCCGCGTGCCCCTCACACCGTGCGCCCTGCTCCCCAGCAGCCCCACCTGCCCTTCTCCTGCCACGCTCAGGCAGGGCCGCCCTGCTGCCTGGCCAGCGTGCGCCTCAGCTCCCGCAGATTCTGCGTCAGGACCTCCACCTCATCCAGGCGGCCGCTCTGCTTGGCATCGAAGATGTAGGCCTTGATGTTGTCGATCTGCTGCAGCAGCAGCTCCTCCTCTATGCACTCCTCGGCCTCGGGCCCGCTGTCGCTGTCCACATCGAAGGGGTTGGGGCCGGCAGCTTCCTCAAAGGGGTTGCCGGGGCCAGGAGGGCTTGCCGGCCGCAGCGGGGGAGGCCCATCCTCCTCCTCCTCGAAGGGGTTGGGGGCCGGGCTGTCTGGGCTGGTGAAGGGATTCCCTGCCACGACCTCGTCCTCATCTTCCTCGAAAGGATTGTACTCTTTCGGGCCGCGGGCTGCAGGGCTGAGGGAAGCTGCTGCAGCAGGGCTGAGGGAAGCTGCTGCGGCAGGAAGGAGGGCAGTGTCCTCCTCCATGGAGCTGGAGAGCTCCTCCTCCTCAAAGGGGTTCCGGGAGGGCACCTCGTGTGGCTGCGCTGTGGAGGCCGGGGGAAGGAAGTCCTGGCCGTGGCTGGGCTCCCAGGCTGGGCTGGGGGAAGAGGTCTTCGGAGCCACGCCGCTCTGCTCTAAGAAGGGGCCCAGATCCAGAGCACGCTCCGGGGCGGCGCGAGGCTCTCGGCCGGACTCCCGCTGGAAAGGCCCAAGTTCTCCAAAGTCCAGGGACCGAGTGCGCACATGCAGGGACGCGGCCCGGACCTGCTCCTGCTCCCGCTCCCACTCACGCTCCCTGAGCATCTGCAGCTGCTCCCGCTGCAGGTCCTCCTCCTCGGCCTGCCTCCGGGACAGTTCGATGGCCTTCTCGGTCTGCTGCTGGTCATAGGCATCCTGCAGCTGCCGCAGGTTCTCCTGCAGCGTACGTACCTCGTCGCTGCGGCCGGCAGCCTGCGCCTGCGTGATGAATGACGTGATGTTACGGATCTGCTGGAGGAGCGGATCGGGGTCTTCAGTTTGCCCCTGACTCTCTGACAGTGCGAGCCAGCCCTCAGCCTTTCTCAGAGGGGCAAGGCCCCCGCGGAGAGCAGCCAGCTCTCCATTGGCCATCCGGGAGCTCGGGCTGTTGTGCCTTTCCTGAAGTTTATGCCGGGACTCAAGGGCAACCTGGGGAGACACCAAAGTCAAGGGTCAGCACAGTCACCAAGCCAAGAGCAGCCCCTCTGCCAGTCCCCCACCATGGCCCTGCCCAGCCCCGGAGTCCCCCACCACGGCCACGGCCCTGCCCAGCCCCGGAGTCCCCCACCACGGCCACGGCCCTGCCCAGCCCTGGAGTCCCCCACCACAGCCACGGCTCTGCCCAGCCCTGGAGTCCCCCACCACAGCCACGGCCCTGCCCAGCCCCGGAGTCCCCCACCACGGCCACAGAGCTGCATAACCCTGATGTATCCAACTGCTGAAATCAAATCATGCTGGGATTTTTGCTTTGGTTTGCGGGGAAGGGGAATGACATGAAAGGTGCCCCCTATATTTTTAAAGGTAAAGTTAGAGGCAGCGAAAGAAACAGCAGGAAGGAAAGATTTTCCACCCATTAGTTCACTCCCCAGTGGCCATAACCACTGGCTATGCCACGCCAAATCCAGGAGCCCAAAGCTTCCTCCAGGTCTCCCATGTGGGTGCAGGAGCCCAACACTTGGGCTATCCTTCACTGCTTTCTCATGCACATTAGCAGAGAGCTAGATCAAAAGTACAGCAGCTGGAGCTCAATGCCAACACCACAGGCAGCACCTTAACTCACTGTGCCACAGCACCAGCCCCAGACACCAATTTTCAGAAAGAAATTAAGTAATCACAGTAAATGAGGGAGTAAGCTCTCTTCAACCCCAGGCTCACTGGCCAGGCCGCGCCCTTAAACCTGAGGTCCATTACCGTCACCCACACCAGAATAACGGCATCACTGCCTGCTGAGCAGCGCACCCACAGCTCCTGGAAGGGCCCTTTGAACGCCCCAGCAGCCTCAACCAGAGGGACCATCCCTAGGGAATTCCGGCTCTGACAGAAGCAGCAGGCTCCGAAGGAACAGGACCCAGGGAGAAAAACAAGCAAGGAATCTGATTTCCACAGAAGAGCATGAGGCCAGGCCCTAAATGGTAAAGAAAGTGAACTTGAGAGCCATAGGTTCCAGCATGGCCCGCGGAGCCCCCGAGGCCTCGAGGCTCACACAGCCCAGCTCGCCTGGGGTCACGCACCTGTCTCTCCTTGAGCCTCTTCATCTCCAGCTCCTGCTTCCTTTTCTTCCTCAGGTTCTCAAACTGTTCTTTGGTTGGCAGTGACATTAAACCAAGCAACTTTTCCTGTAGGGAGTTACAATGTCACACTTAAACTTCAAGGGTTGGAAAACAGGAATTTAATCCCGGTGATGAATCCCATGTTGAACGTCCGCTTAAGCTAAGCCACTCTGCTCTCAGGAGAGAAATTAAAGTGACGGGAACAAATGAGGAAGGAACCCTTTCACAGGCGCCAGGGTGCTTCCAAACGAGCCCATCTCTGCCTTGTGAAATGGTCAGCGTGGACAGTCCAGGTCCTCACGGCTCCAAGAGCAGCTTCCTCTCGGGCCTCTCCTCCACCATGCCCGCTGCAGACAGCTCCTCCAGAGCGCCGGCCACCCTCTCACAAACTGTACTTTAGCTGCTTACTGTCTGTCCCTCTCTCAGAAACTTGACCAACAGGAAGTTTTGCCCTTTTGTTCACGATAGGATACCCTACAATCTGGCCCAGTACACAGCAGGCATTCAATAAACAACTGCTCAACAAAAGACCAAGACCTTGTTCTCTGCACTACAGCGCTAGGTTTGTCAGTGGGTTTCCCGGCTGCTGGGACTCCCTGGGAAGGACAACACAGCCCAGACCTCATCACCCAGGTTCGGGCTGTCCTCGAGCCACCAGCTTCCACCATACAATCAGTGACCCAGGTGAGTCCGTCAGGAGTTTTTTGGATTTTGGATTTCTTTTTTTTTTTTTAAGATTTATTTATTTTTATTGGAAAGGCAGATTTACAGAGAAGGAGAGACATAGAGAAAGATCTTCTATCCACTGGTCCACTTCCCAAATGGTCACAATGGCCAGAACTGAGCTGATCTGAAGCCAGGAGCTTCTTCTAAGTCTCCCATGTAAGTGCAGGGTCCCAAGGCTTTGGGCCGTCCTCTGCTTTCTCAGGCTACAAGCAGGGAGCTGGATGGGAAGTAGAGCAGCTGGGATACAAACTGGTGCCCATATGGGATCCCAGTGTTTGCAAGGGGAGGATTAGCTAATGGAGCCATCATACCTTCCCTGTCAATTTATCCTTTCTTATTCTAAGAAAGTATGCCTATCATGGCAACACTTCTAAAAGCACAACATGAGAATCTACAAATGCCCACTGCAGGGGGCTGGGGAGATAGGGGTGCACAGACAGTCCCAGCAGGATCTGCAGGCAGTCGAGGGCAGCGGGAGTGCTGTGCATAAAAGTATTCAGGATATAAAAGTCAGTGATGAAAACTAAAGACACAAACTTGCCAATACGTATTAATTCAAATACCAGTTATTTAACAGTTAGGGCCAGTGCAGTGGCACTGCAAGTTAATCCTTTGCCTGTGGTCCAGCATCCCAAAGTGACACTGTTTCTAGTCCTGGCCGCTCCACTTCTGATCCAGCTCCCTGCTAATGGCCTCAGAAAGCAGTGGAGGACAGCCTAAGTGCTTGGGTCCGTGCAGCCATGTGGGAGGCCTGGATGAAGCTCCTGCCTCCAGCTTCAGGTCAGCTCAGTTCCAGCCACTGCAGCCACTTGGAAAGTGAACCAATGAATGGAAGGTCTCTCAGTCTCTCTCTGTAACTCTGACTTTCAAGTGCAATAAATGTATCTTTTAAAAATGCAGATAGAAATAAAATGAGGAAAATTGCCAGAATGACAAGTGATCATTCTGAGGACCCAGGATTCAAAGTAGTTTTGGCTATGTCTGAAATAAAAATTAATCTCCAAACATGGCATGATGCAGTCATAAGCTTATGAAGTAACCAGCGCATAAACAGGAGACAAGCCACGAGCACAGGTCTGCTTGCTAAGAGGTGGAAGAGCAGGTCAAGCCAGGTGCCTATGTCTGTGCCACTCCAGGACAGCTTTACCTGCACAAAAAGTGTCGCAGAGTATCTGATCATCCTCTGCAGCCTCAAGGTATTTGGATGTGGTGGAGGGTCCTGGTTCAAGCCCAAGGTTAAGATCTTCTTACTGGATTGGAAGAAACACATCAATGTAACAGGTACTGCCAGCCTCAGAAACAAGGGTGAGGTCTGTGGAGGTGCCAGGCTTTCATGCCAGGAAGATGTATGGAAATAGCTAAGTGAGGCCACTGAGGTTTCCTTGAAGGCCAAGCCTTCTGGCCATCCCCAAGGTCCTGACCTTGACACAGGCTGTGTGCAAAATGCTCTGTCAGTGAGGGACTGAGCACAGAAATGGCTTCACAGGTGAGCCACCCGTCCGACACTGAGAAGGCCCCTACTTGGCTTAGTGCTTGCTGGTTGTTTCCTTAAGCTTCATACTAATTTCTGAACAAGAGTCAGTATTTTCCAGCCTTGGGAATTAACACAGCCAGCCCTACAAGTCTGATGGTTGGGTATTCTTCCTGGAGTCCCGGTACCCCCACAGCCCAGGCTGATTGCACCCCAACAGCCACATCGTGGTTTCACAGCAGCGGAGGGGCTGACAACAACCTGAGTTTCTTTCCCCTCAGCTCCACCACCTGTGCCAGAGGTGGTACATGGCCTTCCTGCGAAATGGGCATGCTGACCCCTACCTCCCAGAGCAGGTGGGGGCAAGTGAAGCTCTCTAAAAGGAAGCAGAGACTGACATGCAGTCAGTGTCAGTTCCAACTCCTGGTTTTGTTTTTTGTTTCTTTGAATAGTAACAAACACTAGAAATTTTTAACAAAAAGTAAAAAGCGCTGAGTGCCGGCCTCCTCCTCCTCCCCACACTTCACGCACACACAGCCGCTCTCAGCCAGAGGCAGGACCTTACCTTAAAGCATCTATGAGCTCGTACACTTTCTGCACCTCCAGTCGTAAGTCACTTGCATGCTCCAGGCTATAGGTCGTCTCCCCGGCACTGAGAAGAAAACACAGAACACACGGTTTAAGTTTCACAGCGGTGACTGGAGACAGGTAGACACCACACGAGGCAAACGCGGGAACACTCTAAGGGGCAGCCTAGGCTCTCGGACCTGATGTGCAGCTCACTCCTTGGCCCAAACTGGTCAGCTGGCAGCCACTCTTCAACCTGCAGATGCCACGGGGACAGACCTGTGCTTGGTCCCAAGGATAACCTTTAAGTTCAATGCCAAAACAAAAGCAACTGGACCTACTCCAGCTCTCTTCTCCACAATTTCACTACCCACAGTAAGTTGTACCAAGTGTCTTACTGAATGAGTCACCATTTGGCTTCCATCAGTCAAGCCTACCCAGCAAGCAGAGTGACAACTGGAATGCTGCTGCAGAGTCCCCAAAGGCAGGCAGGCCATGCACGTGGGGCACCACCCGGGTCTCACAAACAACCACTCTCTGTGTGAAAAAAGCATTTTCGGGCCCGGCACGATGGCGCAGTGGTTAAGGTCCTCGCCTTGTACGCCCGGGATCCCATATTGATGCCAGTTCTAATCCCGGCAGCTCCACTTCCCATCCAGCTCCCTGCTTGTGGCGCAGGAAAGCAATCGAGGACGGCCCAAAGCTTTGGAACCCTGCACCCGCATGGGAGACCTGGAAGAGGCTCCTGGCTTCGGATCAGCATAGCATCGGCTGTTGCGCTCTCTTGGGGAGTGAATCATCGGACGGAATATCTTTCTCTCTGTTTCTCCTCTCTGTATATCCGCCTTTCCAATAAAAATAAAATAAATCTTTAAAAAAAAAAAAGCATTTTCATGCCAACATGCCAACCCAGCAGGAAGGGAGTGACTCTGCCCAGGGTAGAGTGGGCATTATAAAGGAAGCAGATGGGGCTTAACTCGGGTCTCAGCGGCCTTGTGGTGGTTACGCTGGGATACGGAACTGCTCACTTCCAACCTATGGGCACCCCCGGAGTGCCAAGGGCAGTGATTACAACTTTCCATCTTTACAGCTTCAGGGACTTACTAACGGGCCAAGGAAAACACTTTAAGCTGTTAATTCAGCTGCAGCAATGGCCACTCCCTGTCAAAGATAGCAGTAATTTAAGCCAAATAAACAGTTGCTGTCTTCACCTATTTTTTTTCTACTTATACAATGTGCTAGCTGGAAAAATCTTGGTGCATCATAGAAAGCGAGGATTTGGTAAGGTAGTGTCACCACCTCTCACTACCTGGTTTACAAAAACATCATCAGACGGGCAAGAACACAGGCTTCTCCTCGAAATCTCCAGTCACGCGAAAATGACAAGGTGCCTCTAATCTGAAATGCTTCCTCTGGTCTCAGCTTGACCACATCAACCAATTAACAGTTAAAAGCCTGAGTGTGCACCAGGGAGAAATGAGAATATGTCCATAGCACTACAGAGAACCGTAGGGACTACTCACAACAGCCCAAGACGAAACCAATGAAGATGTTCGTGATGAACGGGTTAACAAAAGACGGCACAGCCACACCATGCTCTCAAATAAAAGGAAAGAAATACTGACAAATGGGAGACACCCGAGAACACCACACTGCGTGACAGAAACCAGACATAAACGATCACATACTCACGCTTCACGCTCAGGCAACGCCAACACCAGACAAACCTATGGAGTCAGAACCCAGCCCAGCGCACCAGGGAGGGAGTGAACAATGAGTGTAACATTTCTACCAGGGTCATGAAATGTGTGCTTTAAGATAAAAGGGATATAGGCCTAGCAGCTAAAGTCCTCGCCTTGAATGTGCCGGGATCCCATATGGGCGCTGGTTCTAATCCTGGTGGCTCCACTTCCCATCCAGCTCCCTGCTTGTGGCCTGGGAAAGCAGTCGAGGACTGCCCAAAGCCTTGGGACCCTGCACCCACGTGGGAGACCCGGAAGAGGTTCCTGGTTTCTGGCTTCGGATCGGCATGGCATCAGCCATGGTGGTCACTTGGGGAGTGAATCATCGGACGGAAGGTCTTCCTCTCTGTCTCTCGTCCTCTCTGTAGATCTGACTTTGTAATAAAAATAAATAAATCTTTAAAAAAAAAATAACAGGGATGGTACAACTTTGCAAAAATATTAAATTAAATACCACGGAAGGGATCACTTTAAAAAAGTGGATCTAATAGTCTAATGGTAAACTACAGCCACTTTAAGGGAAGTGGAAAGAAGGTTAGACATGCCCTGTGGGCTGAAGTCGGGCAACCCCTGCTTTAAAGGGACAGGGCTCCCAGTCCTCTTCTCTGAACAACTGCCACTTGAGTTCCATCATCCAATGGACCTTGATAATTTGGGGTGGGGAGACCGCTCTAGGACTCAGATCTCAATACAAAGTTTCCATTCCAAGGTGGAGCAGAGGGCATTCAGTCACCAGGACGGGTGGAGGAATCAAAGGAAAAGGGGTGTCCTCAGCCCTGGGCGGCTCCTCGAGCCTGAGGCCCGCTGCCCTGCCCACCTTCTTGCAGGGCTGCACCTTTCCCATACCCGCTCAGTCACTGAACCTGCCTTCCTGCTGTACCAAGCTCCTATGTGCAACGTGAGACCCACTTACTATAGACAGGAGGAAAATTCTTTCAGCTGGCCACAGTTAAAAAGGCTGGCTAGAGCTAAGATGACCCTGGAGAATTCACCTAAAATGTCGGAAAGCAGTCAGCACTGGGCTGGAACAAGAGAACAACTTACTTTAACGATGCTGCCATCCTAATGTACTCGGGGGCCTTCTGGTCAACCTTCTCCATGCAAAGTTGCAATTTCTAAGAACAAAACAAATGGTGAATGGCACTCTCCAGATAGAGGCCCTTCCCAGAAGCAAGGCTCCAGGACAGATGCATTTTAAAAGCTCATTCTCCAAAAATGAGCTTTTAAAACTTTGTCAATTTCCTAGCATAAACCTGATTTCTCAGCTGGAAACAGAGGAAGGCAGAACTTGGAGCAGGGTGTCTATGAGAGGGCACAAGCCAAGGTGACCAGCAGACAGAGACAGGAACCAGCTGCCGCATTCCTTCTCTGCCCACGACACCAGCACAAAGCACTGCCAGGGCTCACCTCTGAGCACCAGGAAGCAGTGAGCACGGAGACTGTTTATAAGACTCCAGCAGTGGGCACGTGGGGCAGCTGCCCACCCTGTCAGAGTGCAGGTTCAAGACCCAGCACTCCACTTCCAATCCAACTTCCTGCTAATATGCCTGGGAAGGCAGTGGATGATGGCATAGGATCCTGGGTGCCCCTGCCACCTCTGGGGAAACCTGCAGGAAGTGCCGGGAATTGGCCTGGCCCCACCCCGGCTGCTGCAGGCATTTGGAGAGTAAACCTAAAAGTGGGAGATCTCGAGCTCTTCCTCTGTCACCCTGCCTTTCAAATACATAAACAAATCTTGAAAGCAAAGCATAAACAACCTTTTTTTTTTTTTTGAAAAATGAGGTACCAGGGCTTAATGAGCACACTTTTAGCTTGAATATTTGATAGTTCTAGAAATACGGCCATTCCAGCCTACAAAACCACAGGGGCCACATGGTGACCATCAGACAAAACGCACGCTCCCTCTGCTCAGGCCTCCGCCGCCCTGGCACAGCCCTCCCCAGCCACTCCGGGCCGAGCCAGTCTTGCTCTCCGCAGTGCAGCGCACACATTATTTCCTCCTGAAGTCTGTATCTACCAGGGGGCTTTGGGATCATGCATGGTGGTGAGTACTGGGGGTGCCTGAGGGAACTCAGGTTGCCTGTAAGAGGAAACCTACAGAGCCTAAAAACCAGAAACACCTTCTCCAACTTGTGGAGCTTCCAACTCCCAAGTTTCCCTGACCTTTCCCGGCGTGCTGCTCACAATCACCAGCTCCCAGCCTCCCGAGAGCTTAGGCATGGCCCTTGCTTCCCTTCCCCTGGACCACCGCCTGCGCCCCACCGCACCCACCCCGCCTCTCAAGTCAGCAGGGAAGGCTGAGGCAAGGCCGACTTCCACAGGGCCTGGCCCTGCAGCAGGAGTGGAAAGGACTCACAGGAACAACCTTGCCTTGCCCGGCACCTGCAGCCTGATGCCCCGAGCCCCGTGTGCCCACTGTCACCTCGTAGAGCTTCGCGATCTCAGGCGTGCGTTCCTTCTCGTCCATCTGCTGCTCCCTCTTGAGCAGTGTGTCCTTGCAGTGCACACAGCAGCGGATCCGCTCGTCATCCTTCTCGTCCAGGACCGAGCTCACACTGCTCACACTGCTGATGCTGCCCCGGCGGGAGCCGTGCACACTGTTGGGCGACTGGTTGGGACTGGTGTGGGTGCTCAGGGAATCCTTGCTGGCACTGGTGAGCTTGTCTGTCAACACACAGGACAGGCAGCGATGGTTCCCACCACATCCAATTATCCCGCCACCCACAGGCTTCTGTGGAAGTGACTCAGTCAGGCGTGGCCTGTGGCTGTCTTTCTACCTTTCTGGGTAGGACTCAGTGGGAAAAAGGGCTCCCTGGGCCTTCCAGACAAGATTCAAATAGCCTAGGAAGTTATGTAGCCCATCCCTAACTTGGCCTTACCAGCTACAACTCTCCTCCTTTAGCCCTATGCTTCAGAAAGACCCAAAATCTTCCATGTAACTATCTCCAAAAATCCAGCTCCTTCCCTCTCCAGAGCTCAGCTGGCAAGGCATGTCCTCCAGGAACTTCTGTCCTTCCAGCAGTTCCCCACCACCAGTCTACGTCAGAGCACTTTCCACTCCTTTCCCTGTCTACAATCACGTGTGCACCCGAGGGCTGGCCCAAGGACCCTGTGTCCTTTCCACATTTACACCCCAAACAGATCCAGCAGGACTACCCAACTGCAGCTGCCCAACTGATGCTGGCACATATGTCCAACACAAGGCAAATGGTGCCCCAAAAATGAAGCTTGTGAAGCTTTGGGGAAGAGAAGCTGGTCTCAGGGAGAAAGGGAGAGGATTAAGGTAAAGTGGGCCAGGGGTAGACGTGGGAGTCAGTTTGACAGGCATTTGCATTTGCCCCCAGCTTATCCGGTCACACTGTGGCCAACAAAGTGCAGAGTCAGCGGTGCTCTCCAGGGTCACAAACCCACCCCAACCCCAGTGAAGTCAACCTGAGCATCTGACGCCACCAGCCACGGGGCACAGTCTGGAGCATGCTGTTCCCTCCAACCTCTGCAGCCTCCTGCCACTCCACCCATGCAACCTGCCCACCTAACCTGCCCCAGGGCCTCTGCATGCACTCTCATACTAACCCTCTGCCGGGCACTCCTACTCCTTGCTCAAGGTGCTTTCCAAGCACCGCCTCCCGCCACAGCTACACACCGAGTGAGAACTTGGCCCTGAGCCCCCTGTAGCACTCAGTGTCCTCCACATCAGACATTCTGGTCTTTCCCACAGGACACAGAAGGACTAGGCCAAGGCTCGTTTCACAAGATGCTCTTTTCAAAGCTTCCTCCACCACGGCCAAGCAGAGCTGACCGAGAGCTGCACAGCCTCTCCCAGGTGACTGGCCATACAGATCTCTCTGTAAAGCACAGATCCCTCTGTGTCTCCAGCTCCTGTATCTTAGGTGCTGGACTCCCTGGGAAGGAAACTCAGGTGAGAAAGTGAGGACTCAGTGAGCCAAGTCCAGCCAGTAGCTGGTTTTCACAGAGTCCTTAAGTCAAGGATAGTTTTCACATTTTTAGAAGGGTATTTAACAAAAAAGAAGAAAAGAAACATCACAGGGAGCATATGTGTCCCACAAAACCTGAAGCATCTACTCCCTTTTCAAAAACATGTTTGCCAATTCCTGTTCCAAACCACCAAGCCCTGACCAGGCTGCCTCAGGTTGCATGAATCAACACACGAGTCAGTGAGGAACCCATGGCCCACGCACAGAAACAAAGGGGTCCCACGGTCCTGGGGCAAGGGGGCTCTAGCGCCCTTCTCGCCATCACCTACTTGCAAAGGGGAGGCTGATGAGCTCCATGCACTTCTTGCACATGATCGACCCGCAGAGGCGGCAGTGGTGGCGGCGGTTACGGATGCTGAACTTATTCCCACAGTCTGGGCAGAAAGGGACATCCTGGTCATTGACCCAAGGCACCACGGACTTTTCTATTGCTGTGGGAAGAAACCAAAAAGCAAGCAGCAAAGAGAGTCAATTATAAAGAGAGATTTGGAGAAGGAGAAAGAGAAAGAATAGAATGAATGTGAGCAAAACCCTGGTTACCTCGAATTTTTGCAGACTCAGTATTCGCTCTGTCAAATGCAGTGAGCTGCCCGGGGGGAAAACAGGGGCAGAAGAAATTAACCAGGTGATATTTACAGTCACTGTCCACGCCTGCCACTACTCAGGCGCCAAGCAGGAGTCAGCACATTTCCATTGTTTGGGTTTCCTGTGTCTGAACCCCACAAAGCTACACAACCAAGTTCACCTGGGACACAGGATTAGTTATGGATTTGGAAGGCACCTCCTTTCCTCTGACCTGAATCCAATCTCTTTATCGGCAGTTACCACTTTGTCAATAATCTGGAATGGGCAGAGCCCGAATCTAGAAGCAAAGGGAAACTCCTGACCCTCCGCCGTCCTGCTGGACACTGAAACAGACCACAGATCTGTCCTACAAAGGCACACCCAAAGAGCTGTGCCTGTGGCTGCCCCCAGGCCCACCACATTCACTCCCCAGGTGACACATGGCACTCGCTCTCATATCCCAGGACAGGACATCCCACGCTGGCCCTGGCTCAGCAGTCCTCACAGACCTGCTCGCCATTTCTCCATCTGCCATCAGAGGACATGACACACTCTGTTCCACTGAGCGACACTGCCTGGGACACCCAAAGCAGGAAGATGCTGAAGGCAGGGAGGTCGCCAGCAGCCAACGGCCTTCAGAGATGGGAAAAGGAGAACCGGCCTATAGGGAGCTTGTCACCAGGGTCACCCCTCTTCAGGGAAGCCAGCCTCCCAGAAGTGCTCACCACACCCCATGCAACCCTCGGGCACCAGATACATACGACGCACTTAACACGTTACAGAACAGCACTTTTTCCACATAGAAAATTTGTACTTGCAAAAAAAAAAAAAACTTTAAACAACAAAATTTACCTTCTCTAACCTGATTATTAACTTATTGACTTCAACGACATAGTGGTCAATTCGGGCAGCTCGGTGCTTTTTGAAGTCAGAAAGATGGCTTCTCACAGCACCTAGGACAAGGGACAAGAGAATTAGGACGACGCTGCTCTGCGCATGTCACTCCACCTGGCTGCTGTTAGTGAATTTCAAAAACAAGCAGAGATCCTGGGACTCCAAAGCCTCACTGAAAAGATAAACTTAAGAAAGCAGATGGAAGGACACCGGCTGAACTACGAACACCATGGCTCTCGGGGGCCACACAGCACAACACGAGAAGGTGTGAGATGCAGCCCATGAGGACAGGCAGCGCGCAAGCCTCAATGCTGCCACACACTGTGTGACCTTGGACAAGTCACCTGGCCTCTGTCACCTAAAGCCCTCATCTATAAACTGGGAATAATGTGACAACTTCATAGGGTGGTTATGGGGACTAACTGCACAGGAATGTTCATTAAATAGAAAATAAAGTAATGCTATGAGTAATTTTTTTCTCATATTTCTCTGCACTTTCTAAAGTTGGCACAATAAACACAATTCTCAAAATGGCCAAAAACCTGGATATGATAACTGCATGACCTTCATGATCTTTCAAGGGTCACGTGTCCCTGAGTCCAGCATCCAAATGACAAACGTGCAGGAAAAATGTCCCCAACACATGTGAACCACAAGCCCCTACCCCAATGGGCCCAAACACCTGCTGTCCCACCTCGCCCTCGCACACCAGCACTGCGCCCTCCCTGGCCCCACAAGCACTTGCTGCTCTTCAGTGAGCGCTCACAGACTGCATTAAACCCGGGCTTTCTCATGTGCTGCATTCTTCTTTGTTAAAAAGTAATAATAATCTCTTTCTAAGCTGACAAGTAAAAATTATACAAGAGCAAGCATTTGGCACAAGAGTTAAGTCGCCTGGGGCCCAGCGGCGTGGTCTAGCAGCTAAAGTCCTCACCTTGAACGCACCAGGATCCCATATGGATGCCGGTTCTAATCCCGGCAGCTCCACTTCCCATCCAGCTCCCTGCTTGTGGCCTGGAAAAGCAGTTGAGGATGGCCTGAAGCCTTGGAACCCTGCAACCCCATGGGAGACTCAGAGGAGGCTTCTGGCTCCTGGCTTCGGATTGGCTCAGCTCCAACCACTGCAGTCACTTGGGGAGTGAACCAGTGGACAGAATCTTTCTTTCTCTCTCCTGAGTCTACATTCCCAATAAAAATAAATATATCTTTAAAATACATACATATTTTTTTCTTGATTTTAAATACAGGGTTACAGAAAAAAGAAAGAGAAAGATCTTCCAACTATTAACTAGTTCACACCCCAAATGGCCACAACAGCAGGTCTGGGCCAGCTGAAGCCAGGAGCCGGGAGCTTTTTCTGGGTCTCCCACATGAGAACAGGGGCTCAAGGATTTGGGCCAGCAGCCACTGCTTTTCTAGAACAGCCAGGAATTGAAACAGTGCCCACACTGGATGGCAGCACCACAAGCAGAGGCTTGAATTACAATGCCACAATGCTATCTTTCAAATTAATAAATAAATCTATCTTTTTTTAAAAAAAGAATGCATCCTTATTATAATCACCATGTCACATAACACGCCTCTGGAAGCTATTCCTCCTCAATGAAATGTTACATTCTTTGACCATTATCATCACATGCTAAACTCAACCACACATGTGTCTTTTCCTCACCCTAATTAAAGTAAATTAAAGTATAATTAAAGTTATAATTCTTAGAGCTGACTATTAATGCTAACTTCTAAAATCTGCCATTCACTTCATTTTCCATAATTAGTGCCTTCCTTCTATTGTTCAAATGGACACATTAATCAGAAACACACAGGTCATCTGATACTGGCAGTCAGGAAGCACGGTAGTAAGAATTCACATGTCTACAATTTCTTTCATTTCTAGTTGTCTTTCGTGTGTAATTCATCATTCCATAGCTATATAGTATTATTTTTAAAGCAATTTTCACCCTGCAATGGCAAAAACTGCTTCCACTTCCCAATATAATATCCAATAACCATAGGTGGCTACCATATGGCTGAGCAAATGACTTTTACTTCATTTTTAATTTATTTTTACATAGTCATACAGAAGTAGGAACTATCAAATTAACATAGTTCTGGGACTTTACTCACTGAAAAAGACACCTTCTGTGGTAGCTGTCAGGACAGCCCGTGCCCTGGTTGCCCACCCTTCCTTCCTCTGAGCCACGGCTTCCTGCCCGACCAATAGCAAGTGCACATCACTACCCGCTCAGCCTCACAAGGATTTTGTACAAGGTGAACAAGATCATGAAAATAAAAGAAAAATAAAGCATGAAGAAGCGATCACTATTTATCCATTTCATGGCCAGAAAATATTTTATTCTAATAGTGATTATTATCATTTAACCATTAAATGATACATAAAATTAGCTAGCTCAACTTGGTGTGTGGCATGACCTTTTTGATAACATCTTTCTTTAGATCTAATTCGTATACCTACAAGTCACCATTTAAGATACAGAAATCCAATGGCTCTTACGACACTCACAGTAATATCACATTATATTTTAGACCTTCATTACCCAAAATGGCCATTTTGAGAGAGTAAGCACATGGTGCTATAACCATGCATTTCAGAAATGTAAGCCACACAAAGCACACCTCTCACCAGAAAGAGAGCGGCTGGCCCGTCAGTGAAGCCAGCCCAGACGAGCACGCGGCCCACCAGCTGCTCAGCCCGGCAGGCTCTTGTGGGTGCAGCGAGGGTGCGATGAGACCACGTGCACTGAGCATGAGGCAGAGCACTACCACAGAACACACACAGCTCCTCTTTCACCTCCACCCCAATACGGTCCTCCAGAAGTTGGGGCCGCTTTGACTTACTCTGCCTCCTCCACCACCTCAACCACCCAGAACATGCTAGATGTCCGACAGCCGTTTGCTCAGTGAGTGAACTGATTTTCTTACCAAGCTCCTGGGGTTCCCACATGTAAGGATCAACTCCGCCATAGCTGAAAGACTCGTATCCTTGGGTCCCTGATTCTGCTCGATCGTCACCGTCTCGTTTCAACAGCTTGTTCTTTGCTTTCCTAGCCTTCTGGACAAGACCTTTAAACACACAATACAAATGGACTTAAGAAAAACACTCCGAAATGCATCAAGGGAAATCTCAAAAACAAGAGTTTATACAATAAATATTTAGAATCAAAATAAAATGCAGCAATACACATATAAACCCTATTACAAATACCACAGAGCCAAGCCTCCTCACAGGCTCAGAGCAGTGGACAGCATAACCAGATGCACATGGAGGACATGGCAGTACATCGGAACCTGCAGAGGACACCTGGTACCACACAGGGGACAGAACAAATCAATAACTACCCCAGCCATATGTTGGCAATGAAAAACTGGGCAAATGGATTCTCTAAGATGGACTACGACAATCAGTGGATTCTGCAGCGACTTTATCGTGCTTGGAAAGATGAGACTGGTAGCAATTCATAACTATCAAAACCACTTGAGCAAGACCCTTGGAGCATGCCCCACATTGGGGACCTGGGATGGGTGGGAGGCTGGGTGGGGCTTCTCCCTTTATCTCCCCCTTTATTCCAGATACAGAAAAAAAAAGAGAGAATGTGGAAATAATAGTCTTACATACTTTCCTGTAGCCCCTAACCCTTTGTGCCCTAATTAACCATGTAAAGATTGTCAAAAATAAAGAAAAAAAAAAAAAACAGTAGAAAATATAAACCTAATAGAGTTCTGATTTTCCCCAGGATTTTACCAAGTTGTGAGCAATTGTCAAGATAAAAAAAAAAAAAATCCACAGAACTAATGCCCAGTATTAAATTGGCCTATGTGACTAATACATAAGCTCACTGCCAAAACTAAGAGCCCTGTTAAATATAAGTGTTAAAACTAAATTTAATGAAGGAACCAGGGTGTCGGTATATTAATTGGGATTGCAGTTATATGAGTATTGATGTTTTCCAAAACTTGGTGTACACTGAAAAAGTTACGGATGGGGGCTGGCATTATGCCACAGCAGGTTGCTACTCACAACACTGGCATCCCATATCACAGTGCCAGTGTGACTCCCAGCTGCTCCACTCCGCATCCAGCTTCCTGTTAATTTGCCTGGAAAGGCAGCAAAGCATGGCTGGCCTGCTGGAGCTTCTGACTTCGGCCTAGCCCAACCTGGATGTGGCAATCCCTCATGGAGAGAACCAGCACACAACGCCTCTCTCCTCTCCTCCCCTCCCCCTCCCTCTCCCTCTCCCCTCCCCTCTTCCCATTCAGGCACTGGTATCCCATTTGGGCAATGGTTCATGTGCTGGTTGCTCCACTTCCCATGCAACTCTTTGCGTGTGGCCTGGAAAAGTAGCAGAGGATGGCTCAAGTGCTTGGTCCCTGCACCTATGCGAGAGACCCAGAGGAGGATCCTGGCTCCTGGCTTTAAATCAGCTCAGCTCTAACCACTGTGGCCGTTTGGGGAGTGAACCAGTGGATGGAAGGTCTTTGTCTATGTCTCTCCTTCTTTCTACAAATCTGCCTTGCTTAGAAAAGAAAAAAAGAAGCACAGTTCATGCTCGCAGTCTCCTAAGGCAACGGAGAGCCCTACCTACAAATGAGGAATGATGCAGATGCGGAAAAGTGCTTCTGTCAGAATTACAAACCTCATCCGCAGGAGGGCTCAAAGTGAACACCTCCTGTGTCTGTCCAAGAGCCCCAGGGCTCCAGCACCCATTTGCAAAGGACGTTTCTGGGTCACAGGGAACCCACCACCCACGCCGAGCTCCTGTAGGACCACTGTTAAAATCCAACAATCAACTGACAGGGAATAAAAATAATTCTCTATCCTGTCACCAATGTCCTTAAATACTGGGTGACTGCCATCCCTTTCTTCTTCCTTTTTTTTTTTAAGATTTATTTATTTTACTTGAAAGTCAATGTTACAGAGAAAGAGGGAAACACAAAGAGAGAGATCATTCAGCCATTGGTTCACTCCCCAAATTGTAGCAATCAAAGCCAGGAGCTTCTTTCGAGTCTCCCACATGTGTGCAGGGTCCCAAGGCCTTGAGCCATCTTCCACTTCTGTCCAAGGCCACAAGCAGGGAGCTGGAGGGGAAGTAGAGAAGCCAGGACATGAACCGCACCCATATGGGATGCTGGTGTCACAGAGAGGGGATCATTAGTCTGCTACGCCAGTGCTGTCCTCAACTGCTATACCATCCTACCCCAGGGATGGGCAACCTGTGATCTGCCAAAGGTCATTTGCATATTCATGACATCATAGGTCCATCCAAAATCATTAACTTAAACATTGACTAAATTGTCAGTCCCACATGTGATTTCCCCAGCAGAATGCTGCCCACCCCTGCGAGACTCTAGCAGAAAACATCACATTTAATACAAATCATCATTGCTGTCCAGGATCGATACGCTACAGAGTTCTTAAGACCCTAACACGTCCTGCCACTTGAATGACGTTAGTTAGAATCCTAAATAAACGCAACCTGGTGGGGCCAGGGTACAGAATCCAGGGGAGTGGGAACACCACAGCTGGGTCTCTGTCAGCCCAGTTAGTTCCCAGAGTACCAGCCACTCCAGGATAGCTTTTCCAGCTGGAAAAACACCAGAGCTACAGCACATTCTTTAAAATGTGTTCAAGCAGTCTTTTCCAACAATAGGGAAGAGGAAACTGCTGGATGTTAACAAAGGGTCTAGCAGACAGGAAACAGGAGTTAGCAAACAACAATTCATTTTTGCAAACAAGACTAAATTGTGTCAAGTTAAACAAGTAGTCTATGCCATTTCATCACTTTGGAAGATAGGGAAAAACAGGCTGGCAGCAGGCCCAGTCTGGGTGGAACCCTTCAAGAGCGCCAACTAAGAACAATCTCCAAACCATACACTCACTGAAACGCAAAGCAGGAGCCACAGCCCATTTTCTCCCATTTACTGTAAATGGCTGAGCTGAGCTGAGCCGGGATGGCACCTAGGACCAAGGGTCACTCTGAAGCAGTAACCAGGTCAGCCTTCTGCACTGCCTCCAACACCTGAGGCTGAAATTTTCTTGTTGGTGTTTAACTGACACTGTCAATGCCTTAAGATTTCTAAGACTCAAAAGACCTAAGAAGTTACCTGCTTTCAAAGGGCTTTTCAAACACTCCTTGATGTCAGTCTGTAAAACTTCAATTACCTAATTCTGAAACACAGCAAAGTGCGACACAATCAAGAATTTCTTCCTGACTGAAGAAATGAACATTGGTCTAAAGGAATCGTCACTGTTAACCCTTCTGGGTCTGCATTTTATGAAGACTCGAAAAGCACTGGGGAGAGCGGTTAATGTCATTGAAGCCACAGAGCCCTTCAAGGTCATGGGAAACCCCAAAGTGCTAATATAAAACATCAAAGTATTGGTACCATTCTGTACCGGGTTCTAGTGGCAGAAAGACAGCAATCACTCAAGGTTCAGCCAGTAATGAGAAAGCAAGTTAGAACTGAGAAATGTCAAAATGTTTCCTTGCAAGAAAGAAAATTTTCATTTTACCTAACATTTCCTAGAGTCCCTCATACTTCCCCTTCTAAAAGGGCCATCACGGGACTCGGCGGACAATCTCTCACTTGTCCACAGGCTGGCGGCAGCAGTCTCAGACAGCACGGGCTAAGGCAGAGCTCCATTGCCACTAGGACTGCAAGTTCATTCAAAACCACGGCAGTAAAGAGAACTTAGAGGAACCAGGCTGCCGGGCTTCTTTTTTCCCAGAAGCTGTAACACATGCTGTGGCCAGAACGTGTCCAGGGCCTCTCATCTCCAGCGATGCCACAAAGCAGGGGACATGGAGGCTATCTAATACCCAGATGCATGGCTTGCTCCGCCCATTCCCAAGTGACCTTGGAGAAGTGATTATCTCAGGAGTTCTCTCAGATCTATGAGACCACCCACATGCCTGCAGGGTCCCAGTCAGTCAAATAAAATAACAATGCATGTGAAAGGGCCCAGCAAGATAGCCTAGCAGCTAAAGTCCCCACCTTGAACACGCTGGGATCCCATATGGGTGTCAGTTCTAATCCCGGCAGCCCTGCTTCCCATCCAGCTACCTGCTTATGGCCTGGGAAAGCAGTCAAAGACAGCCCAAGGACTTGGGACCCTGTACCCGCGTGGGAGACCCAGAGGAAGTTCCTGGCTCCTGACTTCGGATCGGCGCAGCACCGGCCATTGCAGTCACTTGGGGAGTGAATAATCGGACAGAGGATCTTCCTCTCTGTCTCTCCTCTATGTATGTCTGACTTTGCAATAAAAATAAATGCATGTGAAAGACATTCAAAGACTGGGTAAGCACAGGCTCCCAACAGCCACGGCTCCGGCGCACTCTCGCAGGCAGAAGCCACTTTGATGACCCCCAGGATCCCAATCCTATTTGCCCGTGTCGTGTCTGTGCAGAAACAGGACAGCTGCTCCTTTTCCAGCAATTTTTTTTCCCTCAAGTGGAGAGCTGGAGTGAACTCTAGGGACAGCCATGATAGCCAGGTGCTGGTGACTGGCGACTCCAGAATGTCGCTCAGGGTCCCTTCGTTCTCACGCACACAACAAAGACAGAGACAGGCATCCAGTCCTTTGGGGTCTCCTGGCTTCAGAGACGCTACCAGGCACAGAAAGCAAGCCAGCTAAACAAGCACAGAGGTGAGTTCCACAGGAGCAGCACCTCCACTGGCAGGTTAAAAATGAAAATCTACCAATAAAATGAGTATACATGGAGTCAAATTCCAAAAAAGCCTTCCTAAAACTTTCCAAGATCTGAGATCCAAACCCAAGGTTAATTTTTTGTTTTGCTTTGTTTTGAACAGCACTTGGTTTCCTGGGTTGTGAAGGGCAGGCTTCACTCTGCGACAGGCACACAGGTCACCGTGCGCCTCGACCTTCAGGGCAGAAGGAATTCCTTTCCAAACCCTCTTGGACTGGTGCTTCGGGAACGGGGCTAGCCCAGCACGAGGCAGCAGACGGCAGCGATTACAATCATTCTATTCAAACCAGGCTCTGCCAGCAGCCAGCTTATCTCCCCTTTCTTTGTCTGGTGCCCTCATCAGCAACATGAGACTCCCACTCGCATAGCTACTGAGACAAATGAAGGAGATAAAGCAGGGGGAAGGTGTGAACAACGCCTGGCACCGGGCAAGGGCTAGATATCCGCTGGTGACTATTCCCACCCCAGCGGCAGCCTGGCAACCAAGGACAACCGTGCCCCGAACGGTGGCGCTCACTGACCAAGCCTCGTCTCTTACTTCTGATTTGCCCTTTGACATCGCGGTCCTCCCCATAGTGCTCCTCCTCGTAGTGCGACTGCAGCTGAGACAAAGACTGCAGGTCCTTGAGGCACAGCGGGCACAGGAAGCCCTCCCGCACTTCTCCGGGGTCATCCAAGGAAGCCATAGCAGCGCCCCGTCAACTCCAGGAGGGCCGGGGCCGCATGCCGACGGGGGCTTGACTCCTGCCCCGGGCCCCGGGCTGCAGCAGGGGCGTCAGATTAACCAAGCCACACCAGATGATGGACGAGTGGCCCCCTCATGGCCCAGGCTGAGGTTTCCTCTCTGCAGCAGGAGGAGCACTAAGAAAGACAAAAGGGAAAAGGCCAGGTCAGCTCATTCAGCAACAACTGACAGCTTTTTTTTTTTTTTTTGCCCCTCACAATTCAAGAAAGGTGCTCAGTGAGCCTGGTGGCGTGGCCTAGCAGCTAAAGTCCTTGCCTTGAACGTGCTGGGATCTCAAATGGACGCCAGTTCTAATCCCGGCAGCTCCACTTCCATCCAGCTCCCTGCCTGTGGCCTGGGAAAGCAGTCGAGGACGGCCCAAAGCCTTGGGACCCTGCACCCATGTGGGAGACCTGCAAGAGGTTCCTGGCTACTGGCTTCGGATCGGCATAGCATCAGCTGTTGCGCTCACTAGGGGAGTGAATCGTCGGACGGAAGATCTTCCTCTCTGTCTCTCCTCCTCTCTGTATATCTGACTTTCCAATAAATAAATAAATCTTAAAAAAAAAAAAAAAGAAAGGTGCTCAATGTTTAGTCCCAGGTTGATGAAACAAACTGTTTCCCAAATCCTTACACTGAAACAGAAAGATGGACAGACATCACCAGGCAGCAGCAACACTCTGGAGCAGAAAGCACGGACTCTTCGGTGAGGCAGACACAGGGTCAATCACTGTCACACTCATTCCATGTGGCGCGACCTCCTCATCCACAGGCACCTCAGCCACCGAAGGCGCTTCAGTGTTTATCAACAAGCAGAAGTTTCTATCTGACTCTACACCTTGACCATCTAGTGAGTCACACTCACAGAGTATGCTGGTAAGCAGCCTTCGCTACAGATGCACGCAAGACCTCAGCTGCAGGCAGCTGACTGCACCTGGGCAAGCGCTACACAGATGGCATGGTTTCTGTGCAAATCTGCGTTAACTGTACCAGAGTGCCAGTACAGCTGCCCCCCCCCGCTGTTTTAAAGATACGTGGGGAATAGACATGGGCATGCTGGCAGACAGGGTCTGGACCACAGGACTCAAAACTCCACCTACAAAACTCCACCTCCAGGGAAAATTACAGGATTTATGGTCTGACCGTGGAGTGCATGTGTCAGAACTGCATCTCCTTGGTTGTTGAAGCCTGCGCAGTGGACAGCATGCCCAGATACACATGGGCAACATGACAACATGAGGCCTGCAGAGGACAGAACAAACTGGACAGCTCTCCCAGCCAGGCTCTGTTAGCGAGTATCTGGGTGGATTGAGACTGAGGTGGACTGTGTCAGCTAATGGACCTTGAAAGGATTTCCTCAACCCTGGAGCAATAAAATGAACAACATCTGAGAACTGTGAAAATCCCTTTAACTGCATCCTTGGAGTATGCTCCACTGGAGACCCTGGGACGATATCGCTGGGTGGCTGCCCACCCTCATCAGTTGAGGACGGCCCAAAGCCTTGGGACCCTGCACCCACATGGGAGACCTGGAAGAAGCTCCTGGATCCTGGCTTCAGATCAGCTCGACTTTGGCCACTGGGGCCACTTGGGGAGTGAAGCAGCAGACGGAAGATCTTTCTCTCTGTCTCACCTCCTCTCTGTAAATCTGCCTTGCCAATAAAAATAAATAACTCTTTTTACAATATATATAATACATGTATGTGTGTATATATATTTTTGTGTATATATATACATATATATACACACACACACATACTTAATTTGAAAGTGAGAGAGGGAGAGACACAGAGAGATTGTCCATCTACTGTTTCACTTCCCAAATGGCTAATATGACTGGGGCTGGGCCAAGTTAAAACCAAAAACCTGGAATTCCACGTGTGTCTCCCACGCAGGTACAGGGCCACTTAACCACAGGCTTTACAATGTCAGCCTCTGAGTTAACTAACAAGAAAAGATGCAGTACTTCCACACTCGAGGGTTTAAGAAGTTACGCAGGAGGACTTCCTGAGGCATGGTAAAGTCCCTTCCAATGTCACCTCGGGGAGAATCCTCACAAAAACTAACTCCACAAAAGCTGAGAAATGTCTTCTCTAGAACCTGAGCCAGAAATCTCGGAGCCGCGTGTGCCCTTCAGCTCGGACGGGCTGACCAGCCCGAGAGGGGACAGCCTGGTCCTCAATGCCCAGCTTTTCCTGTTCCTCAGCCAGCTTTGTCCTTTCTGCTGAAAACCCAGAGCACACCCCAGCCCGGACCCCCCTGCTCCCTCCCGGACCCATCCCTTCGCACCTGCTCACCCAGGACAAATCCAACCCAAACCCCGCACCTCGCCGGCTCCACGCCAGCCCGCAACGGAACATCTGCCTGGCCCCCGAGTCCCGCCATCGGGATGCGGGTCACGCAGCCCCCAACCCCGAGGTCCAACATGACACCCGCAGCAAGGCTCGGGGTGCGAACCAGAGAACCCAACACATCATCCAGGACGCCATCACAACCTATGGCAACACGCCCCCAAGATTATGTACTAAATAAGAATCCCTACCCGCAAGCTGCTCCCCCGCACCCCTAGCCGAGCTGCACTCTCACAACGACAGCCGCCCCCAACCCCACTAGGCACACGCCGCGACACCAAGGACCTGGACAATGTCACACACCGCATCGGCGCCGCACACAAACGCCACCAACACCTCCACACCAGCCGAGAAGCGCAGCCTCAAATCCGGCTCGGGCTCCGGGCCCCCAAGGTACCTCACGCAGGCTAGGCCGCCATCTCCCTCGGCTGCTCGGCGCTCAGCAGGCGCGCCTGCGGCGGCGCCGACCCCACACGCCAGGCAGACAGGCGAGCGCCGAGTCTTCGAGCAGGGACCGCCGCGCCGGCGATGCTTCTGCGCAGGCGCAGCCAGGACGGGGCGAGCCAGCCTGCAGATGCGGTTCGGGGGCAGGTGCGTCCCGGGGGCGCAGGTGGGAGAACCGAGGCTCGTCGTTCTTGGGTTCTTGACCAGTGAGCGCCAAGAATAGGACAGCCAGGGAGTTGTAACGCCTCCTAACACGCTCCCAGCTATATTTCTAAATTAATACAAGGATCACAGCCGTGGCAAGCGCTGCACAGGATCAGGGACTTGGAAGGGAATGGGGCTGTTGGGGTCAAGGCCATGTTTTCAAGAAGGAATGACTGAGGGGTTAGCACCTTCTCAGTGCCCTGCACCTCCAAGGACTTCAGGGTGTGGACACAGGGCTTCGTCCCAACCCCAGAGACCTGGTTGCTTTGCGCCCTCTGTATGTCCTGGGCTTGCACAAGGAGCTGAGCTGCCGAGGATCCTGCGGAGCCCCTGGGTTTGGTAGGTGAGCTGAGAGCTCCGGAGCCCTTGGCGATCCTGAGTGTCTCCCACTGCTAACAGCTGTCGCCTCCCCCTCTTCCTCCTCCTCCAGTAGTGAAAATGATGGATATGGAGGGGGGTTGGAGGAGTGAAAGGGGGGGGGGGGGAGACCTGCGCTATAACTCAACAGGCTGAACTTCCACCTTGCAGTGCCGGCATCCCATGTGGGTGCTGGTTCGTGTCCTAGCTGCTCTGCTTCCCATCCAGCTACCTGCTTGTGGCCTGGGAAAGCAGTTGAGGACTTGGCGGTCTCTGTGTTAAACCTGACGTCCAGTTTTTCTGGTTTGAATTTAGCAATGGGGCCTGTGACTCCCCTTTGTGTCGGCACAGATAAGAGTCTTCCCGACCTTTAGGCAGCCAAGCCTCAGGCCCCACTCTTCCTCACTGCTGAGGGGCCCCAAAGCAGGACTGTGTAGGCTGGGGCCACGCAGGTCCCATCAGAGCCCCACTCACGGGCTCTGATTTGCTCAAAGAAGCAATTAGGGGGCAGGTTTGTGTCACAGCTGTTAAACCCACCACACTGGTACACAGTGCCCTTTCTGAGGAGCCAGTTAAGCCTCCATCTTCCGTGCCGTCCTCCCTTATGGGTGTTGGTTCAAGTCCCAGCTGCTCATCTTCTGGTCCAGTTGCCTGCTAACACACCTGAGAGGCAGTGAATGATGGCCAAGTACTCAGGTTTCTGTCACCCACGTGGGAGAAATGGATGCAGTTCCTGGCTTCTGACTTCAAGTTGGCCTAGCCTTAGCCAGTGTGACTAAAACAGAGGGAATGACAGAGCTGTGCAAAATGAGGTCTGAGAGTTCCTAAGGCCAGGGTGGGCCTACGCTGAACGGGAAAGTTCCAAACTCCTGAGTACGGCCTGGGGCAGGACTGTTGTGGGCATTTGTGGAGAGTTAAGCAAGACTTCTGCCTTTCGAATACAATGAAACACATAAAGACATTGGGGAAAAAAATTTTTTTTTTTCAGTGCTAAGTGTGATTCCTGAATGTTGGCTGTGCACCTGCTGAGCCGAAGTACGGGCGCAAGGAGTCATGGCAGCCACCAGGGGGCGCCGTGTGGCCACTTACGAACCGACTCCTCGGAGGTTTCCGAGACCCAAGTGGTTCTTGGTGAGTTGAAGAACTCCCTTTGCAGGTACCTTCCAGCTTAGGAGGTGAGCACGCCTGCAGCCTAGGCTGGAGAGTCAGTCTTTCCCACCAAGCTGCTGCCCTGCTGACCTTAACTCCAGCCCTCCTAGAGCTCCAGACACAAAGCCTGCCCTCTCTCCCCCATATCCTGCTCTTGACCATCAACAAGTCATGTCTCATACGAGCTGCTAGCTGCCACCTCTTACCTGGCCGGGCCTCCTGTCCCGGTCCCCGCCTCAGCCCTAGCTCGACCAAGTCCTGCAGCCTGTATCCCAGCAACAGAAGAAACCCCAGGAAATAACAGGTCCCTGGCACAGGGTCCCACCTTCTTCTGCTCAGCCCCCTCGCAACTGCTGGCAGTTGGTTCAGCCAGGGAGGCCCAGACGCTCCCGTGCCTGAGTGCTCTTGTCCCAGAATTCCACATGTCTCCGCTCACCTGCTCAGTCTCCCCACACTCCTGGGGGGAGACCTTCCAGACCTGGCATTCCATATGGGCCAACTCGGGTCCCATCGGCTCCACTTCAGATCCAGCTCCCTGCTCATGTCCTTGGGGACCAGTGGAGGATGGCCCAAGTGCTTGGGCCTTTGAACCCACAGGGAGACTAGGATGAAAATCCCAGTTCTGACTTGGCCCAGCCCTAATCCTTGGGGCCACTGGGGGACTGAACCTGTGGCTGGAGTTCTCTCTCTTTCTTAAATAAATAAGACAAAACCCAGCTAGGCCTTGCCTTTCAGTTGCCTCCCACACTCCCACAGGCCTCCTCTTAAAAAGAGCCCCCAGACTTCCAGTAAGCTCCTGTGCTTCCCCAGGGAGGCCCCCACATCACTGATGTCCAGGGCATCTCCTGGATGAGGGAGGCCCATGTGAGCCAAGAATTTGAGGCAGGAAAGTCAGTGGTTACAGAAGTGGTTGCTATGTGTGGACCCAAAACCCCCAAGTTTTGTGGCTTAAAATCAGAAGCACTCGCTTTTGCTGAGAGCCTGTGGGCCAGCCAGCAGTACCTCTGGTCTTGCCTCCAAGCCTCTGGGGACCAGGAAGGGACCAAGGATGAGGGCAGAAGTGGGGACACAGGCAGAGGCCGGGCTCACTCACATGTCTCAAGGCCAACTGGTCTGGAATGACCTTGATCGGCTGCAGGAGCTGTGCTCTGTGTGGCCTCCCATCTCCCTGCAGGCCAGCCAGCTCTTGTTCACAGAAACACAGCAGGCTGACACAGCTCAGGGACCACATCTGGCATGGCTGGTCCCTAAGGCTCGTGGTGCGGAAGCGTGGTTCCCAGGAGGTGGAATCCCTGAGAGCCGAAGCCCAGTGGGAGAGGATTGCTTCCCAGGGGGCTCCGCCCCCGGTTGGCTTCACCCCTTCCCTGCATGTTGTGATGTCACGGGATGGAGGTTGTTCAGACAGGTGTCAGTCCGTTGTGACCTTCCAGCCAGCACACTCATGAGCCAAGATACACCCCTTTGCTTTGTCTGTCACCCAGGTACTTTGTCATCATTGCAACAGAAAAGCACACTGGACACAGGACCTGTAGGTGAGAGTGGCCACTGTCACTTCTGCCCTCTAGCCTTCTTCCAGCCCAAGCACAACACGGATCCGAGGGTGGGGACATGGGCCCACTTCTTTCTGGAACTGTGCCAGGGACTTAAACCTCGCGTGTCTGTCTGGAGGCTGGAGGCGCACGGTCAGGTGCTGGCCGGGCTGGCTGCTGCCCCTGCCTCTCTCCCTGGCTCAGCCACAGTTGTCTTCTCCCTGCGGCTTTGCGTGGCCTTCCTGGTGCGTGTGTCCACGTCTGTGTCCATGTCCCAGCAAGACTCCTTCCTAACGACCTCATCTCACTCCTCCACCTGCTGGGGTACCGAGGCTGAGGCCAGGAACGACGGGGAGGGAGGGAAGGTGCTTCAACATCAGAGCTCCTGGGAGCCACATCTCACTCAGGGTCAGCGCAGTGAGTATGGGCTGTCCTGTTTATTGTCCCCCTGCACGCTGTTTTGTTACGTGCTGCATGGGTAAGCACATGAATCACTCCAGACCCTTGCCTCTGGAGGCTGCACCTTGTGCATGAGACCGGATAAGCCTTCCACGGGGAGGAAGGACATTAAGGATTTTTTAATTAAAGTTTCCTCTGTGCCCCATGCTGCCTACAGATCCTATTTTGGTTTGGGGCTAGGTGACGTTTGGAGAATCAGAATTTGGGACATCGTCTATCTGCCTGTGTCCTGAGCTGGGGCGCTAGATCCAGTGACCTCCCCCGTGGCCCCCTGGCCGCTGGCTTTAAATAGCCTATGGCTCCTTCAGTCTGTAGGAAGCCCGAGTGCAGCTTATGTAAGCCGCTATGACCTGCAGCCAGCAGGGGTCGCTCTCAGGAACCCCTTACTCTTTCTCGGCTACTGGACAGAATTCACAAGGCCTGTGGGCACAGGGGGCAGAGCTAGGACCAGTCAGGGTGTGCCAGGCTGTCACAGGCCACAGAGTCAGCAAATGCTTCCTTCAGACAGAGCAGCTGATGAACAAGACTGCTCCTGAGGGGGTGAGGCTCCCATCCCCGGAGGCATGCAAGTGTGCCAGAGAGGTTGACAAGAATCTTCTGCACACATTGCTTCTTACATCCTGTGATCCCAGCTTGCCGCCCCAGGCCCCCACCTTGTTCGCTTTGGCTGGGGGGGGGTGTGAAACTAGAGGGAAAATGGGAGGTCTCCCCTCCTCGGCCTTCGCACCAGCTCCTTGCCTCCCAAAGAAGATCCCAGCGGGTCAGATGCGTTCCAATGGGATGACTGGGGGCCCTGTTCTCAGGGCCACCTGCCTCCAAGGGGTCGTTGTCCGTCCTTGGTGTAGGGACTTGACCTTTCAACAGCACCTTGGGTTTTCATCCTTGGGGCCATGGGAGTCCAGAGCAGAGCTTGTCCAAACCAGGGGCCACCTCTTGCTCCAGCTTCCTGCACTCTCCGGGCCACCCAAGACCTAAAGCCATGGTGATTCAGTTCAATTCAAAGTAAGCCTGCAAGCTGGTTAGTGTGGTGGCAGGTGGTAACTTTTATCTGGCACAAACTCAAAAGGCGGGCAAGGTTATTGAGTGAAAACCAAGTCTTCATTTCCGGCTTCTGCTCCAGGCTTGTGTGTCCTGGCAGCACCAATAAACACATCAACAAACTCACACCCTGGACATGGAATGTGTTCAGAGGCAGGGTGGGGCAGGGCTGAGCGCTGGGCACAGGCTTTTGCCCTCCAATGCCCAGTCATCTTCCTGTGGCCTCACGGTGCATGTGTGCATTCCATTC